TCTTACTCTGCCTCGCGACGGTGACTTCAGATCTAGAATCTGACCGGAGAGCTTTACTCGCTGTCCGTAACAGTGTTCGTGGTCGTCCGTTACTATGGAACATGAGTGCTTCTCCTTGTAATTGGCACGGAGTCCATTGTACTGGGGGTCGGGTCACGGCGCTCCGATTACCTGGAGCTGGTTTATTCGGTTCTTTACCAACCGGAGGAATTGGTAATCTGACCGAGCTCCAAACTCTGTCTCTCCGATTCAATTCTCTTTCTGGTCCAATTCCATCGGATTTCGCAAACCTAGTGCTTCTCCGTTACTTGTATGTTCAAGGTAATGCACTTTCCGGTGAGATTCCGTCGTTTCTCTTCACGCTTCCGAACATAATCCGAATCAATTTAGGGGAGAATAAGTTATCAGGTCGGATCCCGGATAATGTCAATTCCGCGACCCGGTTGCTTACACTGTACTTAGAGAGGAATCAACTCACCGGTCCAATCCCTGAGATCACAATTCCTCTTAAGCAATTCAATGTTTCTTCGAATCAATTAAACGGGTCGATTCCGAAGTCGTTGTCGGAGTTTCCTCGGACTGCTTTTGAGGGGAACTCTCTTCTTTGTGGGAATCCTCTAAATCCTTGTGAAGGTGACGCCGAAAGCCCCAATTCGCCGCCGCCTCCGGGGAAGAAGAAAGATGATGACAAGTTATCCGCCGGAGCTATTGCCGGAATTGTAATTGGATGCGTTGTCGGTTTATTGCTGCTTCTTTTGATTCTGTTTTGTCTCTGTAGAAAGAGAAAGAAAGAAGAGAATGGTCCACCGAGAAACGTCGAAGCTCCTGTCGTTGCTCCGAGAGCAACCACCGCTGCTGCTATACCCAAGGAAACGGCGGCGGCTGTTGTTCCTCCGGCTTCGGAGAGTGGTGTGGTGAGTAAAGACTTGATCTTTTTCGTGAAATCTTATGGGGAATTCGATTTAGATGGATTGTTGAAGGCTTCAGCTGAAGTTCTTGGGAAAGGAACTGTTGGTTCTTCGTATAAGGCGAGCTTTGATCATGGATTAGTGGTGGCTGTGAAAAGATTGAGGGACGTTGTGGTGCCTGAGAAAGAGTTCAGAGAGAGATTGCAAGTTTTGGGATCAATGAATCACGCCAATCTCGTGACTCTGATCGCTTACTATTTCAGCCGCGACGAGAAGCTTCTTGTCTTTGAGTACATGTCTAGAGGAAGCTTGTCTGCGTTATTGCACGGTACGTATCGAAATCACCATTACTGCATGTTGTCCATTTTCCGGGTTCTTAGTTTAGCCGATGCTAGTTTGTGATCTTGATGGGGTTGCTTTGGTTAAGATCAAAATCGATTACCGCATTGTTGAATTCCAGGTTCATAATTAGTTAATTTGAATATCTCGTGATGCTAGATCATGATCGTGATGGGATTGGTTTTGTCATTTAAGCGTCAAGCTCGTTTTTTAAAGCTTTTAATGGTTCGCAGGGAACAAAGGAAGTGGGAGGACTCCGTTGAACTGGGAAACCAGAGCCGGTATAGCCTTAGGAGCTGCAAGAGCGATTAGTTACATACACTCGCGCGATTCGACAACTTCTCATGGAAACATTAAGTCCTCAAACATACTCTTGTCTGAATCCTATGAAGCTAAGGTCTCTGATTACGGTCTAGCGCCTATCATTAGTTCCACATCTGCACCTAACCGTATAGATGGCTACCGTGCCCCTGAAGTAACCGATGCTCGCAAAATCTCCCAAAAAGCTGATGTTTACAGCTTTGGTGTCCTAATCCTTGAATTACTCACAGGTAACAAACATAAAGCACATATCTTTAACTGCATTTTTGCGATTGTTGCCGATTAAAGAGCTTTAACATGGTATATTGCATTGCAGGGAAATCTCCAACACATCAGCAATTGAATGAAGAAGGTGTAGATTTACCAAGATGGGTACAATCGGTTACCGAACAACAAACACCGTCTGATGTGTTTGATCCCGAGCTCACAAGGTACCAATCCGAGGGCAATGAGAACATGATCCGTCTCTTGAAGATCGGTATGAGTTGTACGGCGCAATACCCTGATAAGCGTCCTTCGATGGCCGAAGTCACCAGACTCATTGAGGAAGTTTCTCGTTCATCAAGCTCCTCGAATCCGGTATCTGACTGATTTTTGTGGGGTCTATATTGATCGATTTCAGATTGTTTGGGCTAAATTGCAATTTCTTGAATAGTTTCTACGCCCCCTCCCCGCCTTTTTCCCCTTTCTTATTTGTCACTTGTTCTAGTTTTTTCGTTGATTCTTGAGCCTCAAATTGAGATGAGACCTTAAAGATTTTTTTTTCTTAATTTCATAAATGTTTATAAGACTATTGTTTCTGCTAATTTTTGTATAAAACATAATTGGTTGCGTGTGAATATATTGGTTTTTGTTTTCTTCTTTTCACATCTTATCTTACAATGCAACTATACAAGTCAACGATCCTGCAAAAAAAAAAGTCAACGATCTTATTTGTTATCGCCGTCCAAAATTTCGAGTTGATTATTCCTTGAAATGAAAATGACTTTTGGTAGTAACCAACAATAATTTAAAAAAGAAAAAAAAATCTCAAAATCTATTGGTTATGTCTCCCATTCTTTCAGTACCAACCTCTATATGAAAAAGTCAAAGGAAAAAAGTGGTTATGAAGATTATCTAACGACAGACGAACAAATTTTCAATGTCTTCCTTTAACTTTTTTTTTTTTGGTCACTGTCTTTTAATTTTATGGTTTATTTTAGGTATTGAAATGGTAAGTTGGTAACCACTAACCAGTATCCGTACTCCACAAGAAATAAAATAAAAATTTATAATGAAATCAAACTTTTTGTGCTGAAAATATGGATGGGAAATTCAAATATAGGAAAAAATCTGGTTGAAATTTTGAAATTTAAATATACGAAACTTGGGTCATTTTGAAATTCAAATATACGAAATTTTGACTACGTCATTTTTATAGCCTAGTGTGTCTATTTTGAATTGGTTCCACAATATAAATGTAAGTTATATTTGTGGTATGTAATTGTAAATAACAATATTTAGTAATGAATATAATTGATTATCAGTTTGGTTTGGTTTAGAACAGATTTGATGAGAATTTATGTCATGAATTTATCTACCTGTCCAACAAATCATGATGCCCACAACAACACTAAGAGATGTTGGGTCAATTTTCATTAATGTTGTTGGCATTTTTAATTGCTTCAATCTATCATAATCAATCAATATGACTAAATTAGTTGGACCAATTGTTTATCACACTTATTTTGAAATAGATATTTATGTAGAATTCGAAACACACAGCATTGCAATAATCACACGACCTTTTAGTTATGATTTTTTTTTTGTCACATTAGTTATGATCCAAAGTATAATTGTTCTTCTTAAACTTTTTTTTTTTTTTTAATTTGGTCAACGATTAAAACAGCTTTCTTATAAAAATGAATGAACACAAAGCACTCGCACATAATTCGGTATGAACAAATGGCTAGTGCTGACGAATTGTTTTAAACTCAAACCGATAGATAATATATTCCAATTATTTGAGGAATAAACAATTGTGATCTGGACTTTGAATTAATGTTAAATTTCTCCATTCATTTCATGTGATATACACCATTTACACCGAGTCATTGACAGTTGACACAAAAATTTCTCTCTGTCTCAACTCGTATCCATGTGGGAAC